CGCATGGCGAGTTATTACTTAAGATGGAGATAAGTACAGGAATTATAAGAGATTGCTAGAGGAGTTCTTCAGTGGCTGGTCCTGGGCCCAGTTTTCATTAATAATCTTGGCATGCCAAAATGAATGTGCTAATGAAATTGGCTGCTTATCCAAAGCTAGGAGGCATTGTCAGTACAAGGGAGGACTGGGATATCCTATAGGAGGAGGTAGGCAATTCTGATGGCTGAGACAGTAGAAATGGGATGAAATGCAGTAGTACAAAATATAAGGTTATGTTGTTAATGGCTGAGACAAGAATTTTCTGTTACAACTTGACAAGTTGACTTACCACTTGGAAATAATAGCGGAGAAGGATGTAGGTGTGGTGCCGGTTCCAGTATTGTGCCACTCACTTTCTGCTCTGGGTGTTGCTCTCTTCGGGCTGAGAAGACGGGGGGGAAGCTCCGTGGTCTGATGTGTGCTGGAACCGCCGATGGTGGCTGCAAGCAGCCATCACTTACAGGTTGCACATCTTGGACATTCTGGAATCCAGCTGGGCTGAGGGAGAGCTCAACAGGGCTACTGAACATCTGAGTATTGTAGGAAGTATTTCACACTTGGCAACCCTGACTGGGATTTGACAGTCTGGAGCTGGGGCTGATGTAACCTGAACAGCGTCTGCTCTCATGGCGATCAAGACAGGCAAATGCGTGGGCCTTTTCTGCCTATCAAAGCCCCTTCCATCTTTCAAAGGAAGGAACCTCTTGTTTGAAGCTTTTCAATTGTTATGAGATTTTGTCCTGGAACCTGCAGAAATAACAGAATATTTACAGTTGTTTCCCTCCTCCAAAATTAGAGATGGAGTAAATACTTTGAGGTATGTGGAGAAAAAAAATTGCAAACAAATCAAAATCTGGTGCTTGGAGCTGCCGGTGTGCTGCTAGTGTGGAGCAGGCTATGGAAGCAGTCTTTGCCGAGTGCTTTGCTTCCTAGTGGAAGCTTATTTTTTTCAGTGAATTAGCCCATATCAAAATCGGGAGCGTGGCTGGCCACCTGATGTGAGGACCGGGTGAGGAAGAAAGGCACAGCGCTGTGTTACTGGTTGCTACTGGAATTGCCCTGCGTCTCATAAATCCTGCTGCTGCCAGACATCCCGCCATGAATCGGGGTGCCCCTGGTACCCATATAAATATAAATATAAATAAAAACCCAGCCCCCTTAGCAAGCTGAAAGCCTTGGCCTGACTAACGGCGACAGCGGTGCTACAATTGCTCAGCTCAATACGTCATGCAAGTACTGTTCTTACGCGTTTTCAGTTTTACATGCAGTGGGGGCAGGTTAAAACCAGCCTGCCGCTCTGCCTTCTCCGGTGCTTTACTGTGTACACCTTTTAAGTTCCCACTAAGGCAGATAATCTGTCACCTCACAGAGGGTTTTGCCAGGTCTCCTGATGGCTTCTGATGCTCTTCCCAATTCTCCCTAGCTCTCTAACGCTGCTTTCCAGACAGGGCAGCGGATCCCCAGAGCACTCAGTGGAGGAGACAGTCCCAAGGATCAAATTATAAGTGCAACCACCATTACACACATGCATGTCTTCTGCAGAGATTTCCACTGAGCTGCATAAAACCACCCCTGCTCCCTTTCTTGCCTGGAAAGATTAATTGTAAATAGATCTTTGAAAGGGAATGAAAGGGCTCAAACAAATGAATTTCTAACAATTATTGACTAAACTGTGATGTATGAAAGCTTTGCTTGTGTTTTGCTTCATTCGTTTCTCAAGGACTCCTGACTCCTCAACTGTTTCCTTAGGTCCCTTTGTCCGTTTAGGTAAGATTGAAGCAGTCGTTAGGCTCCCTATGTAAATCACTGATAGCAGACTCAAGGCCTTCAGTGGACACTTGGGCAGCTCCTAGAATGAGATAAGGGGGGGCTCTAACACAGAGACATGGAGACCCTATTACAGGGAAACTGATTTTGCTGACTTAGGAGGCACCTGGACTTTTACTTCACAGCGCACGCTCTGCAAAAAGGGTCAACTAGTGAACACTGTGAAGAAGACTACTTACTTCCTCCCCCAACCACCGAAGACCCTCACCCTATTTTCACTACGCATGCTCAGATTATGCAAATGAACTCTGGGAACTCATTATCATAAGACACCCCTTTCTAGGAAATGTAATGAATATGTATGATTGTGTGTATGTAAACTGATGTCCCTTGCTAATTTTTGGGAGCCCTTATGGTGGAGAATCCCCAGGGTGACCCCAGCACTGCCAATAAAAGAATACCTGCTTAGCAGTTCTATTGGATTCTGACTGTTAATTTATTAGTTTCTCTTGGTTTTGCTCCACATGTTAAATAAACACTCAGTTCTCTGACACTTTGTCCATTTGCCTATATTTTTCCAGTATCTGACATTCCTTACAATCTTCCCCCATCCTCATTAGCCTAAATAATTGTCATCCATTTATTCTGCTGCTATAGTCAAGAACCGTACCACCACAAAGTACAGTGTTAACACTTTGCCATGATGAAAATTGACTATATAACCCTAAAGTTTCAAGCCTTCCAGGAATACCTTTATACCTTTTTCTAAAGGCACCAGATCTCACTCTGTACCTGTTTGGCTGTAGGAAAAGCTCATGGTCTGGCTGAAGAACTTTAAGAAGTCTAAAATAAATCGTGTCAAATAATTCTCCTTTTTTCCACTCCTTACTGACATTTTCAAGTAGTTGTGCTCTGACTGTGATGATCTAAGGATTAAGTAAAGTAAGATTTGTGGGCAGAGGTAATAACTTTTTATTAGACCAACTGATATAGTTGGAAAAAAACATACAAGAAGTGTTTCTGTGCCTGAAAGCTTGTCTGTTTTTTCCAGCTATATCAATTGGTCTAATAAAAGATATTATCTCCCTTTACAAACCTTGACATGTTCAAGGAATTCAGTAAGTGAGATGTGATTTTCCTTTTTTGAAGCCAGGCTGGTTATGTTCTATGAAAGTACGATCTTCCACATACTTTGCCCTTCTCTTTTAATTACAGATTTGAGTATTCATGAGGTAGAGATGGCAGTTTTTACCAAGGCCCATGCTTCACCACTGGGGCCACAGGAATATGGCCCTGCATTTCCCACTGCCCATCCACTCCTCCGAAGAGCTGCCGCAACAGTGCAGCTACACAGATACCAGGAGGAGGGGACTGTAGCCCCAAGGTTGCAGTAGCTAATGCAGGATGTCCGAGTACAAGCATACACTTGCCGCTGACCTTCTTGGTCAGAAGAGCATCCTAAGAGGAGCATGATAGCGTCCAGAGAAACATCTGCTAAAGCAGGAGGGCATCCCTGGGGTGGGAATCCTTGGGTAGGAGTGCAGTGCCAGCTGTGGCCCCAAACAGCAAGCTGGAGGGGTGTTTCTGCCAGAGGCCAGGTAGGAACAGAACAGGGTGCCCTGGATGGACAGAACACAAAGCCCTGGGTTCACCCATCTGGAACTGTCCCCTCAAGCCCCTCCTTACAATTTCCCCCGGTCTCCATCCCCCATGCCACTAGCACATCCCAGCTCTCCCCAAGAAATGCTGTGCTGCTTGCTGCTCACCCCAGTGACAGGACTCTCGGGCCAATTGAAGGAGGGTGGAGAAAACATCTAAGCACTTGGGGAATTAAATCTTGCCTCAGAACTTTGACTTCTGACTTCACAGATTCTCAGTGAGAGAGAAGAGCAGACATGCAGAGAGAATGTAACCTAAAATCTGTCCTGTCTTGAGTCCCTCTGGATTCCTCCACTCATCAGAATGGGGTTTGTCACTCACCCTGACATATTTTTGCCTGCTTTGGAAGAGCAACAGGGGAGAAAGTTTTCAGCCATCGTTTCATGTTGTGGCTAAAACGGATCTTGCTTGCTTTAAATGTTGGGGTTACCTTTTCTGAACAGCTTAGTTCTCCTCTGCTCTACCAGTGATGCTGCAGGCAACATTTGATCCTGGGCCCCGCTTGACCAAGAAGGAGGCACAGTTAACAGGACAAATGTCTGGTGCTGCTGTGGCTGTCTAAAGCCATTTTCTGTGCTTGATGCCTGTCTAGTTCAAGTCTGTTGTGTGAGGGTTTCTCTTTCCCAGTGTACGGTTTCAGGTGTATTCTCAGCTTGCAGTCTGCCTTACTTGTTCAGTTCTGTCCTCAGTCCTCACTAAATATCACACTGCTGCTACCCCCTCTCATCTGAACATCAAGAACTACGCAAGCATTCCTTTCACGCACAAGTTCTCACACCTAAGAAGCATGGACTCCCTCCATCTGGTTTCAACCCAAACCCAATCACGCAGAATAGGACTAACAGAGTCCCCCACCAGTGCTGTTTGCTGTTGATACTCCTTGACTGGATCTATGAATAGAGCTTGTGTCTGGTCCTCCTCCTACCCAAGAGAAAGCCAGGAGAGTCTGGGAAAGCAATCACACTTGAGCGGTCTCACATGCTTCTGGTCCTAGACCACCTTTAGAGCAAGGGCACACACGCATAGTTAAAGCTACAGCTATGGTGGAAAGCCCACATGGCTGCACGACTGTGGGAGAGAACAATGACCACCTTATTCTGAGCAGCCAAAGGTTTTGTTAGGCAGCTCTCTGGCAGCAGCAGGATTTATGAGACGCAGGGCAATTCCAGTAGCAACCAGTAACACAGCGCTGTGCCTTTCTTCCTCACCCGGTCCTCACATCAGGTGGCCAGCCACGCTCCCGATTTTGATATGGGCTAATTCACTGAAAAAAATAAGCTTCCACTAGGAAGCAAAGCACTCGGCAAAGACTGCTTCCATAGCCTGCTCCACACTAGCAGCACACCGGCAGCTCCAAGCACCAGATTTTGATTTGTTTGCAATTTTTTTTCTCCACATACCTCAAAGTATTTACTTCATCTCTAATTTTGGAGGAGGGAAACAACTGTAAATATTCTGTTATTTCTGCAGGTTCCAGGACAAAATCTCATAACAATTGAAAAGCTTCAAACAAGAGGTTCCTTCCTTTGAAAGATGGAAGGGGCTTTGATAGGCAGAAAAGGCCCACGCATTTGCCTGTCTTGATCGCCATGAGAGCAGACGCTGTTCAGGTTACATCAGCCCCAGCTCCAGACTGTCAAATCCCAGTCAGGGTTGCCAAGTGTGAAATACTTCCTACAATACTCAGATGTTCAGTAGCCCTGTTGAGCTCTCCCTCAGCCCAGCTGGATTCCAGAATGTCCAAGATGTGCAACCTGTAAGTGATGGCTGCTTGCAGCCACCATCGGCGGTTCCAGCACACATCAGACCACGGAGCTTCCCCCCCGTCTTCTCAGCCCGAAGAGAGCAACACCCAGAGCAGAAAGTGAGTGGCACAATACTGGAACCGGCACCACACCTACATCCTTCTCCGCTATTATTTCCAAGTGGTAAGTCAACTTGTCAAGTTGTAACAGAAAATTCTTGTCTCAGCCATTAACAACATAACCTTATATTTTGTACTACTGCATTTCATCCCATTTCTACTGTCTCAGCCATCAGAATTGCCTACCTCCTCCTATAGGATATCCCAGTCCTCCCTTGTACTGACAATGCCTCCTAGCTTTGGATAAGCAGCCAATTTCATTAGCACATTCATTTTGGCATGCCAAGATTATTAATGAAAACTGGGCCCAGGACCAGCCACTGAAGAACTCCTCTAGCAATCTCTTATAATTCCTGTACTTATCTCCATCTTAAGTAATAACTCGCCATGCGGCACTGTAGCAAATGGATTACTGAAGTCCAAAGCAATCAGTTCTACTGCATTTAGCGTGACCTCCAACCCAACACCGGGTAGAGGAGGTCCCAGAGCAGAAAACCATCCAGAAGTCATTTCAGAAGTGCCTGGGGAGCTCTAGAAACCTCCATCCCAATCCACATAAAAATATTCCATGGATCGTTAACAGCAGCCTCAGACTATGCACCTTACCCCAAGTCGCGATTCTCCTGACGTCATCTTAGAGCCACTGGATCTTATTACACCTTTCTCTGCTCCAGCAAGGAACTCTAATTCCTGTTTCCCAAGCAAAGCACAGGCAAACTGTGAGCAGCCCACGCATCAGTCTCCTCAGAGCTGCAGGGAATGGGCTCACCGGGTGCCCAGCACCTCCAGCTGCCCCATGGGTTTCCTCTGAACCTCTTCCACACTCCGTGTCTTTGGTGAGCCTCTGGCCTCTGAGCTGGCCATGCTCTCCTAGCCCCAGCCTCCCAAACATGTGGGCGAGAGAAGGCTGTTTCCAACCACAGATCAGCTGTGCTGTTGCCAGACACCACCCCTCCAGGCGCTGGGCCCACACACCCCTGGGACCCACCTCTCCCAGATCACGAAGCCCCCAGGACTTGTTTCCGCAGAAAGCTCTGCCCTGCTCCCGCCTCGCACACCCCGCAGCAGCTGCCCCTGCTGCATCATCCCACCAGCACAGCCAGGCCGCTGCTTTCTTTGGCAGAGCAGCCAGCGCTGTGGGCAGGTCATCCCACCTCAGTCCAGGGGTGTCTGCCTCCCCCTCTGCGGGGAGAAGCGCTGGGTGGTGGGGTGGGGAGCCCCTGCGTACCTGGGGCAGGGCCCAGGTGAGGGCAAGAGAAGGGTGCTCGCTCCAGGGGCCAGCAGCCTCTGGGATTCAGGGCAGCGGGCACAGGCCCGGCCCAGGGCAGGGGGCAGAGAGGCTGGTGTGGGGTGGCTGCGGTTGGGGCACGGCTCAGGAGAGGCGCCTGCCCAGGCCCAGGTCATGGATCACGAGGGGCTCAAGTGGGGCCGGTGTTCTGTCTCCTGCGTGTGGCCCCAGGCCCCTTCGAGGGCAGCGGGTGCCCGAAGCAGCCCCTTCCCCTCACCGAGGGCTGCCATGGCAGGAGACTCCTCCGCACTCCAGCGGCCACCTGCCTTCAGGGCCGCAGGGCTTCACCCCGCCTGGCCGCTGCCTTCCCGCGGCCCCGGGCCCTCGCAGGGCCCGCCAGCCCCGCTGCCAGCCCGGGCCCCG